GACCAGCCCTAGCCAGTGACTGGACAGTAAAAGGAGAAGAAGCAGAGTGATGAGCTCATCTCTCTGTCCCTTTGCTTTCTTGTCCAATCAGCATGCTTCTAGTCAGCACAAACTATTTGGTTCCTTGTACTTCTACTTCCTCTCACACTCCAGCTACTCTACCCTCTCTGGTTCAGTTTCACTTTGTGTTTGGGGGGGTCTCATTTTTTTTCTTGACTTTACAGCTAAGCTCCAACTTTTACTCCTGTCCTATGAAAGTGAACTTACTGGCAATTACAGAATATGCTCATCCTTTAGAAACCCATATGAAACTATAGCCAACATCTTTAAAACATATACCATATTCAGCCCCCCCCCCTTCCCTGTGATTTTGGGCAGGGGTTCCTCTCTCCCGCAGCTGCTGTCACATTTTTTAAATTATGGTGGCTGAGCTGCATCATTCATTTACATGGAACTGTGAATGAGTAAACTACAAAACCTGTCTGTCACCAGGGCAGACAGTCTTGTCTTTTCAAAGAAATGTGAGTGTGCTGATCAGCATGCTAGTAGTCCATTTACATGTCCTCCAGCTTTCATACTGACAGCCTGAACAAAAGGTACAGCCAGAAAGTTGGAAGGGGAAGTGTGCAGGACCCTGACACTGCACCTACCATCCACTGATCGTGGGTGCAATACTTGGAAGGCTCCTGCATGAAAAAAATATTTTATTTTTGTTGAAGATGAATCCTCTTCCAACAACAAATTAACAGTAGGGTAGTGATGCCAGCTTTTTGTGCACAAAATAAAACTTCATACACACATACTATGAATCATACTGAATATACCACACACCCATTGTGGAAGGGTCCTGACTAGCTATACCCTTGCTGATTCAACATATAAGATGAGGAGGTGAATCCCTCCTACTTACCGTAGACTTGCAGCTCGGTATCATGGCTGTCCTCCCCTGCAGAATTAACAGCAACACAGGTGTAGATTCCAGAATCCAATACATGGGCTGAAGACAGGGAAAGTATTCTACCCTGCTCCAAAATCTGAAGGAAAAATACCAAGGACTTAGAAAAAACTGGTATACCAAACATTGGGTTGAATACGAGTAATATAATAGGTGTGAGCTTCATCGATAAACCAAGCAGTAATCCAGTCATCCTGGGCAAACCCAATTGACAACTGATTGGCTGATAATAGTGACCCTTGCACTGGCTCAAGAATATGCCCGAATAAGGACCTGGATTGCTGGACTTTGGAAATGTGTTGATGGTCAAATGCAACTTGCTTGACATCAGCTTGAGATGCTAATGAGATCATTCAAAATGCATTGATAGGTGCACTTGACCTGTTGTTGACCTGCATTCAACCTGCTTCAAGTTGATTTTGCATTCCCATTGACTTGTATGGTAAGAGAAGCAGTATTAATTTGAACAGCAGCCCATAGACACTGACCTTATTAATACATAACTGTACTCAGTATTATTTATGGCTCCTAAATATTCATATATGCAAAAACTTGGATCATTCAATAGTCCAAATCAGTTGTTCAGGAACATAAAGCAATCAAAGTGTTATTACAGCAAAGCCTGCCTTAGAATTATATTAAACATATAATACATATAAGATTCAATATCTGAGCAGATAGGGGTTGATTTACTAAAACTGGAGAGTGCAAAATGTGTAGCTGTACCTGGTAGCCAATCAGCTTCTAACTTCAGCTTGTTTGATTAAGCTTTGGCAAAACAAAAAATGGAAACCGATTGTTTTTTTATGCAGAGCTGCACCAGATTTTGCTGCCCTGTTTGATATCCTCAGACTGCAGAGAAAGCCATCTTCCTGAATTTATCTTTCCATCACTGCCTCGGAAATCCCATTACTTTAGATAGGCTGAGGTTAGCATGTTGCTAGGGCTCTAAAGGAGGTTGGAAATGGCTCACATCACACAATCAGCTGATCAGCATAAATTGTAGGATATAAGCTGTCGTAACTGTTCTGTATTATCTTCATATGATTAATGGAGCAAGATGAAGTCCCCAAGCCAGAGTCTTTATGCTAGTACATCATTAGATATTTTACCATACATAAAAATAAAGTTCTTTCTCTGAGGATGTGCTTGGCACGTAACGCGTAAGGAGGAGCCTACGCACGCCGTGACGTCACGTCGTCGGAGCATCGTGGAGCTCCGATGGCTATTACATCTGACAGGACGGTTAGTCCTGTCTGTGCTTATTTGTTTTATTGGATGCATCCCCTCTGCTACTGTCATTTTTTACTACAATAAATTGTTTATGCAATACTTCACTATGGGCATCTTTTCTTGACCCCCCGTGGGGAGCAACCTTTTTCCAGATATGTTTTTTTGCCCATTGGAGGAGTCGGGTTTCTTCTGGTGGATCAACAATTGCTCTGGTCCCGGTTATCAAGAGGTTTTCTTCCTGCCCAGCTCTACACCACCCGGGGATCTTCTCTGACCAAGGGAACACCAATTCTACTCTGATGATTACCCCATGAGCCTTATGATCTCTACATTGCACTTTTAATGTGCACATCTGGTTAGTGTGCACTTTTACTCCAAGTCACCTTTGCTGGGACTATTTTTATTCACATTTAATTATTGTGTTTCTTATGTATGACAACTTTATATATCTTTAGCGCTGCACTTCTATATATAATTTTACCATACATGGCTGAGTGGGCAAGGTAGTTCATAGTGCTACAATGACCTATTCATGGCAAGGTCCACATTAAGTGTTATCACCTTTAAAGTTAAGCTAACCTCTCCTATCAAGCTGCAACCAGACCCTGAATATTCTACCACGTAAGTTGACTTTTGTACGATGCAAAACTGAAATGTTGCCAGGACTATAAAGAAAGAGCGAAACAGATAAAATGCTTAGACCAACCTGGAGGCCAGCTTTTGCTGTGGAAACTGGTATTTTGTCCTTCAACCACATAAGTGTTGGTTCAGGCACACCCGTGGCATTGCACTCCAACCAAACCTGTTCATTTACCAGGAAAGTGGCAAGTTCTGTCATGGATACAATTCTAGGTGGTACTGGGGTTAAATAATAAGGCAAAGAAAAAGTTAGCAAATTTGAAGCACTGAAAATAAAGTATATAATGGGTAGAAGATTGATGTAAATATGCATGATCCAGCCATTAAATATTGCAGAACAGAATAATTCAGGTGCTCACCGTGAACTTCCAGTGAGTAGTGGAGCTCAGTGGTGCCAGCTTCATTGGATGCAATGCAGACATACTCTCCTGCATCAGAAGTGCCAACTCTCTTAATTTGCAGGATCCTGCCGTCATTCAGAAAGGTGATACCAGGCATTGCAGACAGCAGCTGACCATCTCTGTACCATGCCACCACTGTAGACAGACAAAACATCATCCTCTTGTATTGTATCTCAGGAGCAATCAGTACAGTTTTTAAAATATAGTGGATTTGGATAAACCCCTTTTGCACATTAGGCAGGCAACAAATAGGTGCATATAAATATCATGAGCAGATGTTATCATACACAACTGGATTTTGCGAGTGGAGGTTAAATTTCTTGTTTTGCCCATTTCTGCACAAAAACAATAGCTTCAGAGTTTTGTGTTGATGTGCCAATAAAATGGTTATAATGTATTGGCTAAGCGGTTAGCACTTCTGCCTGGCAGTACTAGGGTCATCGGTTCAAATCCCAACCACAGCACCACCTGCCTGGAGTTTGCATGTTCTCCCTGTGCCTGTGTGGGTTTCCTCCGGGTGCTCTGGTTTCCTCCCACACTCCAAAGACATGCTGGTAGGTTAATTGGCTCCTGTCTAAATTGGCCCTAGTATGTGTATGTATGAATGTAAGTTAGGGATCTTAGATTGTACACCCCTTGAGGGTTAGGGACTGATGTGAATGTACAATATATATGTAAAGCGCTGCGTAAAATGATGGCGCTACGTAAGTACCTGAAATAAATAAATAATAATGTAAAAAACGTTTTGTATTTCTTTTTTTCCCTTTTTTTAAAAAATTTGTGACATACTGCAGCTTTGATCTTGCTTATTTATTTACATTATTATGTCCTTAAATACTATTTTAGTACTCTTTGGGTTTGTTTTTAACAAATTTAAAAGCAAACAGAAAACACAGAGAAACATTAATTTAAATGTAAAAATATATGTAAAAAATGTGTCAACTATAAAACAAATTAAATAAAAAGGTATGCTAAAAAGAAAACTGTCTAAGGGCCAGTTCACACCACAAAAAACGCACTACGGATGCGTTTTTGCTTACAGTTCACAGACGGTGCATTTTTGATGCATTTCGCTGTCTTCCAGTGCAGTCTTGTGCATTTTCTACCTTTTTTTTTTTTACACCAGAAACTAACTGGAACTGACTGCACTGGTATGAACTAGGGCCATTGGAATACATGGAAAACACTGTGCATGCATTTTTGATGCAGGAAAAAACGCACTAGATTGCATCTGGTGTGAACCAGCCCTCAAGGAAAGAACTTAATGCCAATTATATATGCTGATTAAAGGGATATGAATGCAGTAAAGAGAGGCACATAAAATAATGTATTTTTTTATCTGCCAGTATACAATGAATAAAATACTAATGCTGGAAAACATACAATTACAGCTCCAGTGTGTATTTCTTACCAGGCAAAGGACTTCCTGATGCCAAGCACTCTAAGGATGCCGGGAGATTTTCCACCACTGTATGGTTCACATCAGTTGGCTCAATATTAGGAGGCACTAAAAAGCAACAGATAACATTTGCACAAAAATACCATCGGAAATTTGTAAATCCCACAAAACTGAGGCATTTATAATGGGGTGGGGGGAAAAAATGGCATGATTAAAATTGCCTCTACAGAACAAAACTACGCCACCCAAATCTGACCAATGCATTCAGTTGCAGATCAAAAACAAGAGCAGCACATAGAAATACATGTGGTCATCAGATGATTACTGAACGACAAATTGGAGAACCATTCATAGCCCACATATTATTAGGCTCAGGAGTGGACTGACCATTTGGAAACTCAGGCACTGCCCGAGGGCCCAGGGTCAGTAGGGGGCCCCATGAGATGCCCCTGGTACCTTTTTCATAGGCTTTTTTGAGTTTGGCCAAGGACACAGGGGCCCCATGATCCCCTATTGCCCGGGGGCCCCATGAGTTGTCAGTCCACTCCTGTTCTCGACCAATGCTGGAGATGCGGAGAGCCTGGGGGTATGCATCTCCATCTGTAGTGGTCTTGCCCGAGAATCCACTTGTACGGAAGACGTCAACACTACGCATTGCCCAAACTATTTTTTTAGATTGGTTAAATGCGGGCCATGATTTTGACCAAGAAGCTCACCTGAAACATACTAACTGGTTCTCAGGCCCAGATTTTTTACGTCATGCAGATACAAGAGAGCCACCTGAAGCCAAGGTAATCGACCTTAATGAACCAACTTTTGACAGATCAGACCTATTGCCCGGGGGCCCCATGAGTTGTTAGTCCGCCCCTGGTTAGGCTACTTGAACTTTCTAATAATGTAAAAGTTCCTTGTTTTTTCATGAAAGTGGACCTTGAAGGGCTATATACAAACCCTCCCATCACAGCCTCATCCTAAACTGCTAGGGCAAAAAAAAAAAAAAAAAAAAACGATTACGAAAAAAAAACCCAACTTAACTTGGACTCCACCTAGGCGACGGTGAGGTCACTCTTGTGTTCATGCAAGCTTACTGGAAAGCAGAGAATGCTAATCCTCTCAAGAATTCTTTTCAAACTGAACAGGACATAGGGAATGGGTTCTTGGGTTTCCTGGGGTAAATATGTTTATCCCACTTTGGTATAAATATTTTTTTGCATTAGCAGTTTGTGATGGGGGAAGAGGGGCTATAATATAGCCCCTATTTGCTGCAAAACTGCTAGGCTTCCTTTAAACAAACATGTACTAGTCCTTCTTATATTTCTGCATCTCATACATTTTTAATTAAAGAAAAAAAAATACACTCACCCAGCACATTCAGTACAACATCTTGTCTTCCCTCTCCGGCAGAGTTGGCAGCCACACAAGTGTAAACGCCTTCATCATCAATGGAAATTGCCTCAATCTGTCAGAAAATTCATGTTAGTATTTCATGAAGAATGAGAGAAAAAAACAAACATTGTTCAATAGAGTTCTTATTCTTAGGTGTTGGTTCTTAAAAGCTAAACTCGTGGAAATAAACTGAATTCATAAATATGAATTATTCCATTCAGTCAACCTTGTGATTTACACACCTCTGCCACACTGCACATCCAGGCAGGTGACACACTTCTTTCCTGGTTCAGTAATGCAGCTTCCTGTGTCACCACTCCATTTCCAGCTTTCTTACTAGACAATCAAATAGTAATATCACCTTAGTCCAATTAGCAGTAAGGTATTCCAGGAAATCAGTGAAAGTGAACCAGATAGTAGTAGAATGATCTTTTTGGCTCTGCACTGTGGCAGGGGTATGTGAATCACAAGACTGACTAAACAAAATTAACAAGGTAAAGCAGTAAACATGCAGCTATTTCTACTTTGATTGCCTGGAGTTCCACTTTAAGCACAGCAACACCTTCCAATTCGAATCCATCATATACTGGTCTGACATTGGTCATTGATAGTTACTGCACTTAAGAATTCCAACTTTAAATGAACCAGCCACTAATTTTTAACTTCCAATGACCACAGTCAGGTCCCCTAAATACTGAATGACAGTGAACTAGCCCTTTGTTTGGAAAGTGAAGGGACCCTGGCTAACAGGTTATACAGGAGATACAAAATGGAATCCAGTTTTTAGCTAAAAATAGTAAAGCAGTAAAATATATTACTCATTTAATACATCCAAGGTGAAAAATGTAAAGCCAGGTACACGTACCAAAATTTGGCCAGTTCAGTGGGAACCAGCTGAATTTCTGTGAGTGTACCCGTCTGTGCAACTGAAGCTGGTCGTCAGACCAGATCCTGTCGAACGGTCCTGCTGAAAAACCAGCATTCGATCAGCACATGCAGCCAATGGCTGCAGTGCTAATCAGTGTATTCTGACAGGGGAGGAGTCAGATTCGAATAGAAAGGCAGGGAAGATCCCTGGATCTATATTGCTTGTGTGGATGAGAAGATCTGTCAGTTACCCTGCTCAACTCTGCAAAAATAGTATTTGTGTTTTATGTCGATTTAAAACTCTGGTATTCTCAGCCAAATGTCATATTTTCCACCTGATTCTCTGGCTTTATATCAAAGAAACCCTCTAGATGTTCATGATCATGCTATTAAAACGTATTTATAACCAACCCAACAAAATTATATTTAATTTTCCTATGATCAATGTTGTTGTGAACTGTAATTTTCAGTGAATGCAGAATTCCCTATTAGACAGAACAGTGTAGAGACTGACACGTCCCCCATCTCTCAATCACAGCAACTTTGCATTTACATACCATGTCATAGGTGCTAAATGTCAGAGCATGTTTCACTTAATCTGCAGACCAGTACCTGTATTCCCATGGGTGTAGATGCATTACATGGCATGTTCTAGATGGCTACAATTGACCTTTCATTTGTATTTAATTCAAATGTTGTATTTTTTATATTCCAAACAACTCTTATCCCTTGACGTTACAAATGCTGGGAAGAGAGCTCCTTGGGGTGGACATATTGGGGGGGATTTACTAAAACTGGTTCACTCAGAATCTGGTGCACCTGTGCATGGTAGCCAATCAGCTTCTAACCTCAGCTTGTTCAATCAACTTTTGGAAATATAAAACCTGGAAGCTGATTGGTTTCTATGCAGAAGTGAACCTGATATGACACTCTTCAGCTTTAGTAAATAAACCCCATTTTGCGTTGCTCCCAGTTTCTCCGAGAAACTCTCACGTATAATAAACCACCATGTAATCATGCTGTTGTGAGCTTGACTAACAAGACGACAGCTTTCACATGTGGCTATAACAGGTAGATCTCCTTCTCCAAAAGCACACAAGGATGCGCTCCTGGGCTGCATACCTGCAGTGTAAGCTGAGTGGTCGATAATTGGAACCCGTCCTTCCACCAGCTGACGGAAGGAGATGGAGATCCAGAAACATCACATTCCAGAGTTAGTGGCTCCCGTAATTTAGCAGATATGCTGCTGCCGCCTGCAATGCTGACCACAGGAAGCTCTGTTACAAGAGAAAAGAGATTTCAGTAAATAGTTGGCGGACATCTGTGTTAGTTTTAATCAATGGCGCCAGTAAAAAACACAGCCTGTATTTAGTGCCACCACTGAAACTTGGAGGTGGTAAATACGTGAATGAAGAGCATTTTTGGAGGGAATAAACAACTCACGGAGTTATGGAAAGGTAATATAGGCAGTGGCCTAGAGCACCCAAAGCACTTTTTTGTTATTAATAAATGTAACTTATTTGCAAACATAAAGCAAAAATATATATTTTTTTTTTTGTTTACAAACGATTTTATTGAATAAAAGTAGACAGTAAAACAACAGCACATTTTCAAATAATATTTACAGCAAAAACAAGGCACTTTTGAAAAGTACAATTCAGAAAAGTATATTATAGTAAGAAAGAGAAGAAACAGAAAAAAAAGTAGATTGCAAGTACATGAAATACGTTAATTATAAGATAGGTTGAATAATACTTCTGTCAACAGTATATGTCAGTCATTTTTCACTGGAAATGTTGTTAATCATGCAATAAATGTCTATAATCCCTCCATGACTCCCATTTTTTATCAAATAAGTGCATCTTATCCAGCAGAGTATAGTGAATGCGTTCCATGAGCATTACAGCATCAATTCTGTGTAGGATGGAGGCCAAGGGTACAGCATTGGACCTCCAGTGTAAGGCAATAGACCATAAAGTGGCACTACATATAGTATGTATCAATCTCATAATGGCATCAGGGACCCCTGGGATATGAGCCCCCAATAGACAGGTCAGTATAGATAAGCGTACTGGGGTACCCGCCAGTGAGGTAGCCACCTCAGATATTCTGCACCAAATCAAAGATATGGACGGGCAATCACAAAATATATGCACCAAAGTGCCTGTAAGACCACAGCCCCGAAAGCAAAATATTTTTTTAACTGAAGCATGCATAGTAGATCCTTACTTACATATGAAGGACACTGAGTATCTACTAAGATCTACACTTACAAGAAAGACAAAAGAACCTGTTATAGGTTGGAATAAGGAGGCTGCCATAGTAGACCTTCTGAAAATGCTGTTTGCATGGCTGTCTGTGCCTTCAAAATATTCTAAGAAAGCACATGCAGCTAGTCAAAATTCCCAATCAGCATGTGTTCTGGGCCAGTGACCTAGAACATTCAAGCAGATGGTCAACAGGTCAGAAAGGGAACTAGCATGTTTGGAGGTGGATGATAAGCCCTGTTTTTTTTTTGTGATCATTCCTTTTAAAACACAAAGAGAACTTAGGGAATTGCCTATGGAGGCTTCTGCCTGCTACTTATAGAAGGGCACATAACTGTTCATCTGAGAGCACATGGAGGACATTACAGGCTGGTAGCTGTAAAGATGAAGTGAGGCAGCATTGCCTACCAGATATGGGTATCAGGGAGGATAACCAGGGTAATGAAGAGGACACAATTCCAACACATATAGACTTACCTTGTACTAACACGTTTACCACGGCCTCTGCAGAGCCAGCATCCCCTTCAGCTGTACATGTGTACCTCCCAGCATGTCCTGACTGTATGAGACGTATGGCTAAAGTCCTTCCTCCATCTAATATCTCCAGACCATCCTGATCACTGACCGGATGACCATTTCTTAACCACCTGTTGGGGAAGGGGACGGACAGAGGTAATAAGGGATACAAACAACTACCCCATAACCTAGTAAACTAGGCACTACCCCACATGCTAGCCTCAGCATACACTGGGTTATAGAATTATTGGGCTTCAGATAAAGTGTGCATAACAAGAAAGTGTGTGGTTTCTATGGAGAACAAAGACATATCCTAGGACAATGTGTGCCAGGGTGTAGTTGGCACAAGATGGGAGGAGAAATCTCCCCAATGTGAATGCTGACAGTCATTAAAGCTCAAACACTTCCAAAAATTCCCAAAAAAACATTTTGCATGAAGTTGGGCTTTAAACACCACAATTAAGCTGGCTATAGACATGTTGAAATCTGTCCAGTTCAGCAGGGACCAGACAAATTTCGATCAGTGTGTGCCCATCCCTTTATTGACAGAAGTTGATCACTTGATTGACTTATGTCAAAGAAGAATGTTGGAAAACTTCTCAATCAGCGGGTCACAATACAATGTCCCAGGGGGGTGGGAGTGTTGGGGTGGATTCCTCCATCCACTTCGCTGTATTGATGGAGGAAACTAATGCTGTTCGTTTTTTGTTCATTCAGTCCACTGGCTGTACAAAAAAAAAAAAAAAAAAAAACGGCTCATTTATGGATAGCTTTAGGCTAGCACTCAAGGAGCTAGCTCAAAATAGGCCTCCCTCTTGTAAAGTATATATAAACCCAATCCTGACATTTTCATAAAAACACCAACATGGTCATTTCATTTAAAAATAATTTTCAATATTTTGAAATCTTCAGATTTCATTAAAAAAAAATTTGGTGATGATACTGCCATGAAGTTCGTTCTTGCTATAGGGTAACTCTCTCCCCATCTCCCATTTGTGCTCTGGCATTGTTACCTTGTCACACAGGCATCTTCTGATGGAGAGTGGCCATTTCAACACACATTACCCTGACATGGGCTACTGTTATCACCACTAGGAAATCCACCCTGAGATATGCCATGAAGTCATCACTCAAGTGTATCAGCAACATCAAGTTGCAAAAAAAAGTGAAGTTAGCTTAAATTGTTACTAAACCCAGGACCCTGCATTCACAATATCCAGTCTTCCACAGTACTCAGACCATGGAAATGCAATTATTTAAGTAAATTTAAACTACTAAATACCTGTCCGGCCGAGAACTGGTTAATCTTGTAGGAGGAGTTTTCATTCTCCCCTGACTGCCCTATGAGGCTGCATAACTCTTGACAGCACTGATTGGTCCTGTACTAATCACAAGTAACCCCCCCCCCAAAAAAAAAACTCTTTAGCGATACACACCAAACAGAGCATGTGCAGACTGGCCACTGCTGTTCTGTGCTATAGCAAATGGATTGGGGACAGGAAAAGAAGGGGAAAATCAGAGAATGCTGGATCAGACAGCTTTTTTACACAATGTGGAGGATTAACCCCTTAGTTTCCACAGCGAGTACAACAAGCATGCCTTACTGCATATACAGAATGATTTTACGGTTGTAGGTTTAGTAACCATTTAAGATAAGTATTTTAGTTAAAAAAAAATCTTCTGGATAAAGACATATTAAAAAGAATAAGCTCTGCTCAACCCACCACCACCTGCTTGTCAGAACTGTTATTATACAAGATTTTCACAAACCAACACTCACCACACTCTGGGAGTTGGATGTCCAGTTACATGGCAGGAAAGATCCAGCGGGTCATTTACTATCACTGTCATGTGTTCAGTGCCGTCACCAATCTGCACTTTGGGGGGAACTGAAAAAATAATGTTATGATCCAATTATAGCAGGACTACAAGCAAAAAGCTACATGCACAGATGAAACACATGCATGTTTACTGTTCTGCCTGCTATCGGATTTTGTAATTCTGTGCGGATGATTTTGTGATTTACACACCTTTGCCATATGATACACACAGGAGGTGGCACACTTATTTCTGGTTGAACAATGCAGTTTTCTGCATCAGCCCTCTGCCTCCAGTTTGTACATTGGACGGTGAATCAGTACCATCACTTCTGTCTGAAGACCAGAGAAAATATCTGAGGAAGTCTAGCTGTGCAGTGTGCTAGATATGCATAAGCCTTCATGCACATGGACACTTACTATCTGCTGTGTGCTGAGGTGTAAAAACCCTTTTTACTGGAGAGCTGCATGTGCCGTGTAAGCCACCAATACAACTAAATGGCGGCATGCAGCTGTGCTTGGGTAAACACCATTGGCTTCTGCTTCAGTGGTTACCCATGCATGTGTTTAGGGTGTGTCACAAAATATTTGGGATGCAGAAGCCATTGGCATGTACCCAGGCATGGCTGCATTTTATTGGCAGCTCCCTGGCCCCAGAAAACACTGAGTGATTTACAGCTCAGCACACAGGAGCTACTAAGCGTCCATTTGTATGAGGTCTAAATCACAAGACTAGATCCACAGAATACTAAATCCTCAGCAAGTCATCTATGTTTAGCTGTCTACTTGGAGTTCCTCTTACACTATGCATTAAACTCTTCAGGAGCCAAAAGCTGCTTAGAAAATGCACGTCAGACCGAGATTTACAAGCCAAGATTAAAAAAATACCCATGTGTACTTAGAATGCTTTTCCATATCTTACCAAGAACCTCCACAGAGTACTTCAGGGTGGTCTCCCCAGCCAAGCTGATTGCAACACAAGTAAAGACACCCTGCGTGCTCTCAGCCACAGCGGCAATGTGCAGGGTCCGGCCACCATCCTTGATCTGCAGCCCATCTCTCTCAGATACCAGGAGTCCATCTTTAAGCCAGGAAAGAACTGGTGGAGGATGACCAGTTGCAGAGCACTCAAGGTCAAGAGGATGACCAACAATGGCTTTAATGTTCAGTGGGTTTCCTCCAGCACCCTCAATGCCTGGAGAAACTAAATAGACACAAACAGATTATCAGTTATGTGATACGTAGTGTATTACAATATACATATTACTAGATTTGTCTGAAGAGCTACCTGAACCAAAGAGCCAGAAGACTTCATACGTCCACAGCCCATAAAAAACTACAAATCAATGCACCTACAGTATACCCAGTGGTGTATTTAGGTTTTGTGCTACCCTAGGCATACAAAAATCACCCCCCACACACAGAGAGCCCGACATTGACCAACAACACCCCCTGAGAGAGCTTTCCACTACCACTGCCCCCATACATCAGCCACTACCAGCCACGACGAGACAAAGAAGGACACTCGCCTTCACAGCTCCAGATATCCCTGGGAACAAGAGTGGGGCTGTGCATACACCATCTTGAAACCTGCAGCCTCTCTCGGAACCCACCAGGTTCCCATGCCGCGTGTGTCCCATCTTCCAAGGACAGTGCTGCCCCCCCCCCGAAAAATGCTGCCCTTGGCAAATGCCTTGCTTGCCTTGTGGTAAATTCACTCCTGAGCATACCTATATGTTTTTATATATATATATATATATATATATATATATATATATGTACCAGGGGCAGACTGACAACTCATGGGGCCCCCGGGCAATAGGGGATCATGGGGCCCGTGTCCTTGCCAAAACTCAAAAAAGCCTATGAAAAAGGTACCAGGGGCATCTCACGGGGCCCCGAACTGACCCCAGGCCCTCGGGCAGTGCCTGAGTTTCCAAATGGTCAGTCCGCCCCTGGTATGTACACACATATACATATACATACATACATACACAGATATGATTATGGAGAAGTAGAGCAGGAGACTAGGGATAGGAGTACCTTAAAGTAGGGTCATACAAAAGCCAAATTTAAGTCCAACTGTTTTACAGTATTTGATACACTGATAAGAAGTTGTAACCTATGTTGAGTTGTTATTGTTTTGTGTCCTTGTAGGAGAGATCCCAACCATTTCCTTTCCCAGAGACATAACAGGAAGTGAGAAGAAATGTCCCCAAAGTGACGGAATATCCTACTTTTATCAGAAGAAATATATGGCTACAATGCCGTAAGGGTCAGTATCTTCATGGGATTTGTATGTTATCTATAGGATTCAACACCTAAAGGTATGGTCCACATTTTGGGAAAAAAATAATAAATATAGGGCAGCACAGTGGCTAAATGGTTAGCACTTTCACTTGGAAGTACTAGGATTGTTGGTTCAAATCCCAACCATGGCACCACTTGCCTGGAGTTTGCATGTTCTCCCTGTGCCTGCATGGGTTTCCTTCCACACTCCAAAGACATGCAGGTAGGTTAATTGGCTCTTGTCTAAAATTGACCCTAGTATATGAATGTGAGTTAGTGACTTTAGATTCTACACTCGTTGAGGGTTAAGGACTGATGCAAATATACAATATATATGTGTATAGCGCTGTATAAATTTAGGGCTCTATAAAAGTACCTGTAATAAACAAATAAATAACAATGTACCCACTTAAAAGAAAAAAATAATTATTTGTTTTTATTTTTTTTTTTGCATCGAGGCCTGTATAATATTGCAACTGATTAGTGCATCATAGGTGCAATACATGGGCTCCTACAGACTCTACCCATAGTCCCAGGTCCATACGGAGTTACAGATCTACCATTACTGGGCTGGGAGTAACCAATGGACTATAAATGCAGTGATGTCACCGTACTTGTGCTCTATTGAGACCTACAAGTCACAGTGGACACGCACAGCTGCTCTGAATCATGCAATTCAAATAACTGGGGGAGGGACAGTATGAGGGGGTTGAGGAATGTGATCATGGTACATGGTAAACATGGGTGTAACATGAAACATGATCACGAAGGTGGACTAAGTTCTTAAAGCCCAAATTGTATATTTTGTTATGGATTGAATTGGGTAGAGTTAATATCTCAGTTATGTTTTTATTGTTGTGTCCCTATTGCGATGATTTCCCCCCGACCTTCCTGGCCGGGTGATGGAAAGTCTTTTTTAATGGAGACACAGATATAATATTGCCTGCTCTATCCAAAAAAAAGTTGACAGAAGTTAGGCTATAATCTGAAAAGATAGAAGGCAGAGAAGTAAATGCAGGTCAATTGGATTCTGCTTACATTAGCCGTACTTATGTAAAATATTTCAATTATGTATAAATGAGTCCTGGTCAGTAGTAAATGCCAGCCAGACCAGTAGGGGAACCTACCATAAACCTCCAGCAGGTATGTTTTTTCAACAGTGCCAGCATGGTTAGTGGCTCTGCAGGTATACGTGCCAGCATCAGAGAGCTGCACCCGGCTCAGCTGCAAACTCCTCCCACCATCCCTGTAGGAGGCCCTGGAGCTGGACACGATTGGCCGTTTATCCTTGAACCATGTGATGCTGGGAGGAGGCGAGCCCTTTGCGTCACACTTTAGTTCCACGGAGCCATGCAGCAGGGAGGCCACTGTTGTTGTCTCATTGAATGACCAGACAGTGGGTGGTGCTATAGTAAAAAAAAAAAAAAAAAGAATACTTAAGACAACATTTATGAGGAAATTAGACATGCCCATGTATTCAAATATTTGTATATTTTTGAAAACAAATCATAATTTGTAGTACCAAGAAAGTGAATGAACAAAATGCTATTATTTTTTTCAGCTCTGCAGATTAAATCCAGATATTTTACGTACTGGCACCTAATCTGCTCTAGCCTGTTATATGTTATGAATTTAATTCCAAGGGAAAATTAAATATGCCAAACATGGCATGACACATGGTTCCCTCCTAGATTGTGAGCTCTAAAGAGCAGGGCCCTCTGAATCCTCCTGTATTATTTGTATTGTAATTTAAGTTGTAAAGCGCTGCGTAAACTGTTGGTGCTATATAAATCCTGTATAATAATAATAAACTACACAGGGAAATTTGTAATGTAATCTTATATGGAAAAAAGAAAACACAACTTACATTTTTATTTTAAAGTGTATATCAACCCTAACAATGAATTTCCTTTATTTGTGCTTCGTTGTTCTGTTAAAACTGAATTTTGGGTATAAAAAATTAAATTTAACCACTTCAAGTCCAGACACTTTCACCCCCTTCCTGTCCAGGCCAATTTGCGCAGTCATGCAACACTGTACCCATATAAATTTTTTGCATTTTTTTGAGACAGATAAAACTTTATTTTTGTGGTATTTATTCACCACTGGGATTTTTATTTTTTTTCCAAATATAAATGAAAAAGTCCAAACATTTTGAAAAAAAAGTGTTTTTCTTATAAAATTTTACAAATAAATAATCTTTCTTCATAAATCTTAACCAAAATGTATTCATCTATCGTTTTACTAAAAAAAAAAAAACCCAAATTAGTTTATAACCAAAAATTATAATTTTTCAAAAATATTTTTGACATTTTTATTTTTTATGGTTTTTTTTTTTTAACATACTGTCACCCTAGCAGTACAGTGTCACCATGGTGACACTGTACTACTTGTGGGGGTGATGAAGATTTTTTTTTTTTTTTACACTGATTGCTTTTACACCCATAAAGGCTGTAAAAGCAATCATTTCTCCTTCTCTCTGGCTGCATTCTTGCAGCCATTGCAAAATACTATGCGAGCTGTGATTGGTCACAGCTTGTCATATGGTACAAGGCTGCTGTGAATAGCCTTGTACCATGTGACCTCTGTGATCATTCACAGATTTCACTAGTAGTAAGCAATGTCAGAAGTGACATCTTGCTTACTACTATTCATATGATCACTGATTGGCCAATCAGTGATCACATGATCTGGACCTCACACAGGTCCTGTACAGTGATCGGTGTTTCTGCTGTGTCTGGAGGACACATCAGGCACTGGACTGCGGTTCCGTGCCCTCCTAGGGAGTGCGCACAGGCAGGAAAGACGTTTAGAAATGACCACGTGCTCCTGCAATGCTCCTGTCTGGCCATTTATATACATGGTTCGGTTCGGACGGAAAGTGGTTAAATGCATTCCTCAATAGCCATAACAAATAAAAATCCACTTTTTGTGCACCAAATGCCTTTGCAAAGTCAGATAATACCTTATAAAAAATTAGCAGTAACATCATCACTGTGCTGTACATAGCCTCTGCAGAAAGCAGGACTGTGGGAGGGCCACAGCATCTCCACCCACTACAGGCTGCCTGCATTAAACTACAGAAGGGGGCGGAGACAAGACCAGTTACCCTGCACAAGAAGAAAGAGCAGCAGTGACTGGTCTTTATTACAGGAAAATCCTGTACAGAGGTTAAACTTCACAGAGGATTACTGCACAGATCTGGAAGAAATACTCAAAAACACACTGAGTTTCATAGAAGAATACAGATGGTCTTTGTGTTTACACAATATTTGCTTAGCCTGGAGCTCAGCTTTAAATATACCATTATGGATATAAAGTGAATCTATAGTGCAACCTTTTTTTTGTTTGTTATAAATAGAAACAGGGACGTTTAATCTGGGGGTCGATAACAGGTTGATCATGATCTACCAATCAATAGCAGCTACGTTGGGGCGTGAAAGGTTTTGGAAAAATGTACTCGTCCATGTTTGAGAACCACTGTGCTATAGAATATTCTACTAGACTGCAATTCACACAGTGTCCATTAGGTGGGAGAAGAACACTGTAAACACATGAAATGATCTTCTTGTATATTCCTGTGCTGGCAATATATATAAACCGCATATAAGGCACTGCTTACTACCCAGTCAACCTGGCCATAGACCAGAATTACGGTCAAACTTCTGTACGTAAATTCAGAAAAATTCTCCATCGTACCATTATGGATGCAACAAATTTTTCATGTAACCCTGAAAAAAATTAATTTGCTTGCTGTACCAATGTTTTGAATTCTATGTCTGATTTCAGGATGTATATGAGCATTTTTAATTAAAATTTTTTTTCCTGAACAAAAAACACATACAGAGTTAGAATTTTGTTTGCCCGAGAAAAAAATACTATACTTCTTCAACACTGTTCTTTGTCATTACAGTCGATCGTCGATTTGACCCCATTACAAAATTTGTTTTGAAAATGATTTTTTTTTTAATGAAATTTTACTGGTGTAAGGGCAGATTCATTACACAGAGTTGTCATCTTACACAACATCCAACATACTATTCCCAATGCACATGTTCCTGAATAGTGGCTTTAAGTGTAGATGGGTGCTAAAGCAATTGGTGGCTTGCACCGAAGGTAATCAGAGCGAAAGAAGGTCACCAGCTCAACACAGATCTCCTGAATGGGTCCAAAGCTTTATTCAGTGATCACATCATTATAGCAGAAACAATGTTTTGAGGCCACGCAGGACCCCTTCATCAGGCATGTAACGGTCTTATGAAAGGGTCCTGTGTGGCCTCAAAACTTTGCTTCTGTTATAATGATGTGATTGCTGAATAAAGCTCTGGACCCATTCTGGAGACCAGGGACAGACTGACAACTCATGAGGCCCCCGGGCAATAGGAAATCATGGGGCCCGTGTCCTCACCCACACTCAAACCACACCCAAAAAAGCCTATGAAAGGTACCAGGGGGATCTCATGGGGCCCCCTACTGACCCCAGGTCCTCGGGCACTGCCCGAGTGGCTAAATGGTCAGTCTGCCCCTGCTGGAGACCCATGGTGAGCTGGTGACATCCTTTTGCCGTCATTTTACACAAGGCACGTCAGTTTCTTTTTTTTTTAAGAATGGAGCTTGGGAGTTGCTTATGAACCAGCTCCTGTACTCCAGGAAACTTACTGAGTATCTTCAGGCTGAAGTCTTTGACTTGTTGTCCAGCATGGTTAAAAGCGAGGCACTGGTATCTGCCCTGGT